TGGCCATCTGTCAGGGATGATTTGAATGCAATATTCCTGCTTCTTGGCAGGGGGTTGGACTGGATGGCCCATAAGGATTCTTCCAACTCTTTGATTTGATTCTATGAATAGAGCAGCAGCCCTCTCATCTAGTTCCTGCGAGACTTTCTGATGAATCAACAAATAACTTCTCGAGTAATTCATTCAGACATAACCCTGGAGTCTGAAATTCCTACCAGCAAAATGATATGTTATGAAATATGCCGGGGAAGCGTGGCAGAGACGGGTCGGCAGTGTATTAAGTTATATTAAGCACAGTGTCTCTCAGAAAACAGCTTCATCATGCATAAAGGCGCAGGTCATTGGGGCCAATGCTACTGTAGGCAAAACCAGTCTCCTGCTCTCAGCACAAGCAGTATGAATTGCATCCCAAGAAGAGACCTTATTATAGGAGCAAGGGACACATGTTCCATTTCTTGCTAACACGAGTTTTCACCCTTTGGAGATTCATTTTATGTAAAGGCTGTGGGCAGGTACCAACAAGGATATAAATAGAGGTTTGCAAAGAGAGGGGTACCTGCCTTCCAATGATAACATTCAGAACATCAGGTAATTTCCAGCATTAGAAAAAAAACACTCACTTTGAACATATCCAGCAGGACCTCCTTGCGGACTTCTAGCCTTTCAAAAGCCTGCTTTTCCTTTATGATGTCTTTACAGATATTCTCCAGAGTGGGAAATTCTGTACTAGATACACATCTACACAAAAGAAGGGGCAATAATCATAAATCAAACTGTGCACAGAGAAGAATAAAGATGTTCACCTTCAATTCATTGTATAATAATTAAGGGAGGAAAAGGATGGATACAGTTCCTTTCAATTAGACACACAGTTTCTAGATATAGTTTGGGTTCCTGGCATTACCTGGGTTATTTGAAAAAAATCAATTTTTAATGGTACACAATGCATAATAATAATAATAATAATAATAATAATAATAATAATACTTTATTTATACCCCGCTCCATCTCCCCCAAGGGGACTCAGTGTGGCTTACATGAGGCCAGGCCCATCAATACAATACAAACAATATAACACAAAAACACAGTAAAACCAAACAGATGTAAAATCAATATAATATACGACACAACAACATAAAGTCAAGCAATAAAAACACAAAATTTCACTAGGCAGGGCAGATTCAAGGATAATTTTTTAAAAGTTTTAAAACACTGGGAGATAGGACTGCATAAGGTTGTGGGCGAACTACAACTCATATCATGCCAGATTAACCCCAAGAAACTCCACCCGTACTTAAAAGTGTGTTATGTTGGGCAAGTTTACTCTAGAAGCATCATTGGTGGGGTTCAGTGTGCTCTCTGGCTGTAGGGTAAACTACAACTCTCACTATGGTGAATCAGTTCCCTCAAACCCCTCCAGTAGGTGACGTTAGTCATGAGGGTTCTGTGTTCTAAGTTTGGTCCAGGTCCATCATCTGTGGAGGTCACAGTTTCTCTGGTTGTGGGTGAACTACAACTCCCAGAAAGGAATGTCAGTCCCGTCCCCCCCCCCCCGCCCCAAACCCCTCCAGTAATCACATTTCGGCATATCAGGTATGTGCACCAAGTTTGGTCTAGATCCATCAGTGTTTGGGTTTGCAGTGCTCTTTGAATACAGGTGAACTACAACTCCCCTAAATCAAGGTGAATTTCCCCCAAAGAACTCCAGGAATTTTTTTTACTGGTGCCAAGTTTGGTTCAATTCCATTTTTGGGTAGTTGTAGGTTTTTTCGGGCTATATGGCCATGTTCTAGAGGCATTCTCTCCTGACGTTTCGCCTGCATCTATGGCAAGCATCCTCAGAGGTAGTGAGGTCTGTTGGAACTAGGAAAAATGGGTTTATATATCTGTGGAATGACCAGGGTGGGACAAAGAACTCTTGTCTGTTGGAGCTAGGTGTGAATGTTTCAGTTGGCCACCTTGATAAGCATTTGATGGCCTGGCAGTTGTTTGGTGTGGTTTGTTAGTGCCTTGGGCAATCTTTTGTCAGGCAGAGATGAGAGACAGGGTCTTATCTGTGGTCGCCCCTCGGCTGTGGAACTGCCTGCCTGGGGATATTAGATCAGCCCCCTCCCTCCTGACCTTTCGAAAAAGAGTGAAAACCTGGCTCTTTGAGCAAGCGTTTGGAATTTCAGCATGACCAGATAAACTCAAATTGGAATATGAACTAGGAACTGTGAAGACGATGGAACGGCAGAGGATTTGAACACGAACACATAGTTTTTTAAATTTTTACTAGCCGTCCCCTGCCACGAGTTGCTGTGGCCCACATGGGGGTTCTGTGTGGGAGGTTTGGCCCAATTCTATCATTGGTGGGGTTCAGAATGCTCTGTGATTGTAGGTGCACTACAACTCCAAATGTCAAGATTCTATTTTCCCCAAACTCCACCAGTGTTCACATTTGGGCATATTGAGTATTCGTGTAGAGTTTGGTCCAGATCCATCATTGTTTGTGTGCACAGTGCTCTCTGGATGTAGGTGAACTACAACTCCAAAACCAAAGGACACTGCCCACCAAACCTTCCAGTATTTTCTGTTGGTCATGGGAGAACTGTGTGCCAAGTTTGGTTCAATTCCATCGTTGGTGGGGTTCAGAATGCTCTTTGATTGTAGGTGAACTATAAATCCCAGCAACTACAACTCCAAATGACAAAATCAATTTATTTGAGTGAAGGACATACATTGGGTTGTTAGGTGTCTTGTGTCCAAATTTGGTGTCAATTCGTCCGGTGGTTTTTCAGTTCTGTGAATACCACAAACGAACATTACATTTTTATTTATATAGATTTTATTGCTTTTACGGTTTTTAAATGTATTTGTAATGTCATTTTTTTTTGTTGCTTTGAACTCATGTATGTATTTTTATATGGCATTTAATTGTGCCAATTTGTACGCCGCCCTGAGTCGTCTTCGAGCTGATATGGGCGGGATAAAAGCGAAGCAAACAAATAAATAAAAGTTTTTTTATGCTTCCTTTTAAAACATCTATTTAAAAGTTACTATAAAGTTTCTTCTATAAGAAGCAACTAATATATTCATTTAAAAGCCAAGAAATAAACACAGTAGTACACATTATGAAAACTCTTTTCCAGTTAGGAAAGAAAAGTGCCACAAGATAGAGAGGAGAATGTACTCTTCTTGCTATGTAGGAACAGTACCTGTTTTCCATGTGCATATCATAATAAAAGCCATTCTCAATGGGAGGTCCATAGCACAAGCATCCACCGTAATAGTTTTCCATGGCTTCTCCAAGGATGTGAGCACTAGAATGCCAATAAACCTACATTAAAGGGGGACAAAGATGGCCTTACAGTACAATTTTCCCTGGTTAGAGCCAAGCTGAGCAAATATTTTGTCATTTATTACAAAACTATAGGACTCATAGCGATATTTAGAACTCATAGAGTAGCATTTCTCAATCTCAGGGTTGGGACCCGGGGGGGGGGGGGGGCGGGGGGGGGGTTTCAGAGACGTCGCCATAGGCCAGGGGTCCTCAAACATTTTAAACAGAGGGCCAGGTCACAGTCCCTCAAACTGTTGGAGGGCCGGATAATTTGAAAAAAACATGAATGAATTCCTATGCACACTGCACATATCTTCCGACTATTCTGTGTAGCTTGCTGTCGACTTTTGCAGCCCGAAAGACGGTTGTGTCTGTCAAGTAGGAAATTTAGGTACCGCTCATGCAGGGAGGCTAATTTAACTAATTTACGATGCCACAAAAATCTTCAGCAAGCAAACAAGCAAAGAATGAGGAAGTACTCCATCAGTGTCTCAAATGGACGGTGAAGCGACAGCTCCCCTGGTGGCCAGAATGCCCTCATGAAAGCTGGAAAGTTAAATAGCCTCTGTGTGTCTGTCTATATATGTTGTGTGTATATGGCATTGAATGTTTTAATCCGCCCTAAGTCGCCTGCTGGGTGTCATATGTTCTGCAGTTGATGGTGCTTGGTGATGAAAGGATTAATGTAAAGTATTAGTTCTAAAGAGTTTAGTAATCTGTAAGTAAGAGTTCATGGGTAAAAGCAATTAAGGGTGGAGGTATGCAAGAGATAGGTTGCAGCTGGGTGTTTCTGGATATAAGGAGCTAGCCTTGGGACTGATCTTTGGGAGAAAAGTATTGTCTTTTGGTGGTGGATGCTGCTGGTTTTCCCCCCAAGTCTGTTGGATTTTCGGTATCCTGACCTGTCTCCTGTAATCTTGGAACCCTGGAACCTTGAACCTTTGGACCGGCTTTTGACTACGGTATATACTCTTGGTCCTTGGACTTTGTTTATTGAACTCTCGGCGTTTGACCACTGGACTGTACCCTTTGACTACGGTGTAGCTTTTGCTATCAGTCTGCTATCTGTTTTTGTCTTTTGTTGTTTATCGGTTTTTGGAAAGGACCAAGGCAGAGACATCCCCAGCTCATCCCCTGTTTGGGTATCAGCCAGCACGTCAACGACTTAAATCCAGAAATAGTTTTCTAAGATCTACAGAGACACTCGCTGGAACACCTCAGCAAGCGAGAGTCCAAAAGTGGCAGGCTCAAACCCAGAACCTCAACCAATGGCTGATACCAAATTAGAGACTCCCCCCTGGGCACACAGAAGACTGGGCGACTTGGAAAGTGCTGAACAGACTGCGCTCTGGCACCACGAGATGCAGAGCCAATCTTAAGAAATGGGGTTACAAAGCGGAATCCACGACATGCGAGTACGGAGAAGAGCAAACCACTGACCACCTTCTGCAATGCAACCTGAGCCTTGCCACATGCACAATGGAGGACCTTCTTGCGGCAACACCAGAAGCACTCCAAGTGGCCAGATACTGGTCAAAGGACATTTAATCAACTACCAAACTTACACATTTTGTATTTTCTCTGTTTCTTTGCTTTGTTCTGTTTGAAAAGTAATATAATTGATGCAGTGTTTGTTATCAGTTTTTGTTTATTCTGTGGCTGAGTGCTATCTTTATGTTTTATATTTTGGTCTATTAAAACAGCCAGCAAGTAAGTGCTGTTTTAATTAAACTGTTTTATATCAAACTGGGTTTTTGTTTGATTCATCTCTGCTGGAAATAACAGCAGAGCCCTGGCAACACCAGGTGAGACAGGCAGAATATAAATACTGTAAATAAATAAATAATAATAAATATAAATCCCAGCAACTACAACTCCCAAGTAATAAAATCAACCCGCCCCACACACACACCAGTATTCGAATTTGGGCGTATTTGTGCAAAATTTGGGTCCAGTGAATGAAAGTACATCATGCATATCAGATATTTATGTTACGATTCATAACAGTAGCAAAATTACAGTTATGAAGTAGCACAAAAATAATTTTATGGTTGGGGGTCACCACAACATCAGGAACTGTATTAAGGGGTTGCGGTATTAGGAAGGTTGGGAATGATTGTAATAGAGGGAGTTAGTGCTTCTTTCAGGTCCTCCTGGGGATGGAGTAAGCTCATGCCTATCGCCGCTCTATTCAGAGAAGGGGATGGTTCCTTTTCGGATAAGAGTTAAGGCACAGGGCCTACACTGATCCATAGACACATCGAATCATGTATCTTCTAGATTTATACATGTGTATTTAGGATAAATTATTTTGCAAAGTTGTTGAGGGAGAGAGGAAAAAGTGGTACATACTGCTTGAGCTTCTTCACTATCAAAGAGAAGCAGCTCCAGAGTGGCATCTCCTTCCATTGGCCGGTCTAGATCCCATAGTTCTCCATTCACTTTGGCAATGACGGCATTATCAGCAAGTCCTCGGCTAAAAATAATAAAGACATGCAAAGAAACCACTTGGCGTCATGTGCAGAGATGCAAACAAAAGCTTTGTAAAATGTGTTTTCCTTTGAAACCCACAACATTTGTAATTCTACATTTGCAAACAGTTTGACTATGGACAAGACTGGTAGAAGAATTAAAAACATAATGAATATAAAAATAAATATCGTATATACTCGAGTATAAGCCACCTCAACACCTAATTTTACCACAAAAAACTGGGAAAACTTATTGACTCGAGTATAAGCCTAGGGTGGGAAATGCAGCAGCTACTGGTAAATTTCAAAATAAAAATAGATACCAATAAAATTACATTAATTGAGGCATCAGTAGGTTAAATGTTTTTGAATATTTACATAAAACTGTAATTTAAGATAAGACTGTCCAACTCTGATTAAACCGTTATTCTAACCTTCTTCAACATAAATGTGCTTATGTAGCCTTCAAATAATAAAGCAGTAAAATAATAAATGTAATAATAATAGAGTAAAATAATGGAAATGTAATAAAACAAATATGAGTAAAATAATAATTTAATAATAAAAATAGAATAAAATAATAAATGTAATAATAATAGAGTAAAACAATAATGTAATAATAAAATAATAAATGTAATAAACAATAATAAATAGAGTAAAGTAATATGTAATAATAACAATAATGTAATACGAATAAAATAATAAATGTAATAACAATAAATAGAGTAAATTAATAATGTAATAATAATAATAAGGGAGTAAAACAATAAATGTAATACGAATAGAAATAAATGTAATAATAAAATAGAGTAAAATAATAAATGTAATAACAATAATGGAGTAAAATAATGTAATAAAAAATAATAATGAATAATAACAATAGAGTAAAATAATAATGTAATAATAAGAGTAAAAAATGATAAATAATAACAATAGATACAGTAAAATAATAAATGTAATAATAAAAATAGAGTAAAATAATAGTAATAATAACAAAATAAATAATAATAAATAATAATAATAATAATAATAATAATAATAATAATAGAGTAAAATAATAAATAACTTTGACTTGAGTATAAGCCAAGGGGGGCTTTTTCAGTCTTAAAATAGGGCTAAAAAACTTGGCTTATACTCGAGTATATATGGTAGTTCTGCATATATTTGAGTCTTCCGACACATCACAGGCTATTTTTTCTTTCATTTCATTTCTCTTTAGTCCTTATATTTCACTCTTTCATTGTTTACAGACATTCACACTTGCCTATGACATCTAGAGATGCCACTTGATGCATCTGCTTGATCTGATTCCAGCTCACCATAGCTCATGTGGTCATTTGTTCTTGTAAGCTTACCTGATTCCTAATGCTATCTGATACGGTGTTGTTTTCCAACATTCTCCTTCAACCTCCTTCCCATCAGCCAGAGTGATCTTGATCGGTTTGCTTTGGGTGGATGCTCTGGAAGCAAGGAGTGCATCATGCTCCTTCTTCAAGGTTTCATACAGCTTCAACCGATCTTTGATGAAGCTCGGCTCCTTTTCTGGCTGCAACAAATGGCAAAGCAGAATGATCTCACCAGCCCATTCAAAGGCCTCGCTTCAGCTCATACGCCACTATTACAATGAACTGGGGATTTATTTATTTGCAACATTTATAAGCCGCCCTTCTCATCCCGAAGGGGACTCAGAGCGGCTTCCGGATATATATAATATATATATACACACACATACATTAAACCATGAGCACAGTACAGTATCAGTGCTATACATCACTATATTGTAATATACAATAGTACCTCCCATTTTGCTACCAATCAGCCTCTTTCACAGTTTATTCTATGGCCCCTACTACAGTGCCATATAACTCTGTCACTCCTTTCCACCTGCTACTAAGGAGGCTGTTAAGGTCCTGAACCGGTGCTTGGCCGCTGTGACGGTCTGGATGAGGGCGAACAAATTGAAATTGAATCCAGACAAGACAGAGGTACTCCTGGTCAGTCGCAAGGCCGAACAGGGCATAGGGTTACAGCCTGTGCTGGATGGGGTCGCACTCCCCTTGAAGGCGCAGGTTCGCAGCTTGGGTGTGATCCTGGATTCATCGTTGAGCCTGGAACCCCAGGTTTCAGCGGTGACCAGGGGAGCATTTGCACAGTTAAAGCTTGTGCGCCAGCTGCGCCCGTACCTTGGGAAGTCTGACTTGGCCACGGTAGTCCACGCTCTGGTTACATCCCGATTAGACTACTGCAACGCTCTCTACGTGGGGTTGCCTTTGAAGACGGCTCAGAAGCTTCAATTGGTCCAACCATCGGCAGCCATGATTCTAACAGGAGCGACACGCAGGAAGCATACAACCCCCTGTTGCGCCAGCTCCACTGGCTACCAATTTGCTACCGGGCTCAATTCAAAGTGCTGGCGTTGGCCTATAAAGCCCTAAACGGTTCCGGCCCAAGCTACCTATCCGACCGCATCTCTGCCTATGAACCCACCAGGACTTTGAGATCTTCCGGGGAGGCCCTGCTTTCGATCCCGCCTGCTTCTCAAGCACGGCTGGCGGGGACGAGAGATAGGGCCTTCTCGGTGGTGGCTCCTCGGCTGTGGAACGCCCTCCCCATGGACATCAGATCGGCCCCATCATTAATGGTATTCCGGAGAAAAGTGAAAACCTGGTTATTTGAACAGGCATTTGAATAGACAGTGCAATGAGTGTAATGAATATTCTTCCAACACGCTGACATTTGTCCACTTGTCTTCCCAAGAGATTTGCAGGATTTTTCGGAGCAGCGCTGATGAAATCGTTCCAGGAGTTGCATGTGACGTCTGTAGACAGTCCACGTCTCACAGGCATATAGCAGGGTTGGGAGGACAATAGCTTTATAAACAAGCACCTTGGTATCCCTACGGATGTCCCGGTCCTCAAACACTCTCTGCTTCATTCGGAAAAATGCTGCACTTGCAGAGCTCAGGCGGTGTTGTATTTCGGCGTCGATGTTGACTTTGGTGGAGAGGTGGCTGCCAAGGTAGCGGAAATGATCAACATTTTCTAATGTTACACCATTAATCTGTATCACTGGCATTGGAGAGGGGTTGGCTGGTGCCTGCTGGAAAAGCACCTTGGTTTTTTCAATGTTCAATGACAAGCCGAGCTTCTCGTATGCTTCTGCAAAGGTGTTTAGAGTGGCTTGTAGATCTTCTGAATGCGCACAGAAAGCCTTCGACAATACCTGTGGAGATTCCTTGTTGTTGTTTTTTATATATATAATTTTTTAATTAATTTTTCCAATGCACATAAAATTTAGACTTCATAGGATACAGGGAAAGTGTGGGAGATTCCTTGTTATTTATTTGCTCAGTCGCTTCCGACTTTTCATGACCTCATGGACCAGCACACACCAGAGCTCCCTGTCAGCCGTCACCACCCCCAGCTCCTTCAGAGTCAAGCCAGTCACTTCAAGGATACCACCCATCCATCTTGCCCTTGGTCAGCCCCTCTTCCTTTTTCCGCCCCTCTTGGTTTTGTAGATTCCTAGTTTTCCCAATAATCAGAACAGCATTTAATGCCAAAGAGACAAATTGCCATTCATTTTGAAAGGACCTTTTCTTTTTACTAAGGCACTAGCCCTCTTTGGCAGAAGGGGCCAAAAATCTTATAAAATTGCAAAATCCCATGAGTCCACAACAATGGGTCACGGAAGTTAAAGTGGTTTCAAGCTGCATTCAATCTACAGTCTAGATGCACCTAGTCTGCTCCATTCATACAACCAAGGCTGAGGCTTGAATCCCTATGTTGGGAGAAAGGCAGGGTAAAAATACAGTAAATAAATAAAATGAATTAAGAAGACAAGGGTGGGTTTTCTGGAGAAATGTAAAGAATGTCACATACTTCCTTCTTAGGCTCATCCACAGCCTGGGCTTCTTTCTTCTTCTTCTTCTTCTCCTTATTTGGTTTCCCTTGGTGAGCAGCAAGATTTGCGCTGGGCAAATCCTAAATGGGAAGAAAATTGAAATTGAATCCAGACAAGACACAGGTACTCCTGGTCAGTCGCAAGGCCAAATAGGGTTACAGCCTATGGACTCCCCCTGAAGACGCAGGTTCGCAGCTTGGGTGTGACCCTGGACTTATCACTAAGCTTGGAACTCCCAAGTTTTGGAGGTGACCAGGGGAGCATTGAATGTTTGAAAACATTTTGACGTTTTCAAACTGCTAGGTTAGCAGAAGCTGAGGCTAACAGTGGGAGCTCACCCTGCTGCCCGGATTCGAACTGCTGACCTTTTGGTCAACAGCTCAGCGATTTAACCCACTGCACCACATGGGGGCCACTTTATTGCTATTATTACTAACATTTATTATTATTATCATCATTTGGTACCCTTACTATTATTTCTAGCTATTATTATTATTATTATTATTATTATTTCTAACATGTATTGCTAATATTACTATCATTTATTATTATTTCTAGCATTTATTATTATTTCTAACATTTATTATTAACATTAATGCTAACTATTTTTATTATTGTTTCTAGCACTTATTATTCTTTCTAACATCTATTATCATTATTTCCAATTATTATTATTATCATTTATTATTATTTCTAATATTTATTATTATTTCTAACAATTATTATTTCTAATATTTATTACTATTTCTAGCATTTATTAATTAATTCTATTATTATTATTTCTAGCATTTAT